AATGACCCCAGCGCGGCAAGTGCGTGTTGTTCTATAAAAAATAAAAATTAAATTTAGTGAAAAAAAATATATATTTTTTTTATTTAAATAAAGGTTCCAGACAAAGTCAAAAAGCCTTGATGCAAAAAAAAATATTTAAAAGACAGTATCATGATTTAAATTTTAAAATGGGTCACTACGGACCCTAACATAGTAGGAAGGTTAACATTTTCTAAAATAATAAAAAAAAAAGTTTTAGTCTAAATTTGTGAAATGACGTTTTAAACGTCTGAAGAGAAACGGAATGAAATGGATAAATGTGGAGTAAATAAAACGTGTTTTTTTAAATCACTCGCCTACAAAAAGGTCAAGTGAGGATTTTAAATGAGTGAATCGACCCTAGATTGCACAACAATAGTCACAACTCGGTGAAAGTCACAGATATTGAGCTAAAACTTGGTGTGGTAGTAGCTGAGAGTCATTTAAAACTCAATCTAAGGAATAAGCTCACAGGAGGTATTGTGGATATTGTTATGAAGATTAAACTCACCGGTGTCAATTCACAACATAAGATCAAGAAAGACGTGATAAACGTTTATTAAATGAATCGTGGCTTTTAGTTTGTTCAGTTTTCAGTTTGAATGTGGCCTCTGAAGGTCATCAGGGCATTTCCTCTCAGGGTTAAATGCCAACCTCAGTAACGGAGAGTGTTGCAGCACACGAGGGCAGCCCATTGTTCACCACACAGCAGCTCACTTCCTGTCGTCAGACCAGCAGTAACTGGTTTCACCTTTAAATACGGAGTTTTTTTAATGTACGCGCGTGCTTTTATTTTATGGTGGGACCTTTTAATTCAGTGCACATAAACTGAACGGGGTCTTTTAAGTTGTTTTTATTAACCGTTTGCCTTTAAAGTGACAGCATTTTTTAAAAGAATTAGGCATCCAGCTGAGGAATGCTCGAGTTTCTCCACGAGGAAACAAGCGAGTGACTGGGAGCTCACCGGGTCCGTAGGCTCGGGCCTTCTTGGGGTTGAGTTTGGGTTTGAGAGGAGCCCCGGGCTTTAGTTTGGCCTTGGGGAACTGAGACAGGTAGGTCATGACCGACTGCTCGTCCACGCTGGGGTCGATGATCTCCTCTGGAGCGATCACCTAAAAACACACAAAGTTCAGGGAGGTTGGGAAACCAGGACGATCCAACGAGGCGGTCCGGGTGTACGAATCTGTGGTGTGACTCACAACTTGTAAACATTACTCATTATTATAAACCCCCCCAGGAGCCCATCTGCAGGGGATTGTTGAAGAAACTGCGCTCATAAAAAAAAAAAAAGATGGCTAACATAAATTTCAAAGTGACACCATGAACGCCAGAAGTTCCAGATGTTTGTTAAAACAAATGAAAAAAAAAAAAAAACGAAACGAGAGCAACAATCTGCTGCTGAAACGGTTTTAGCTTCAATGTTTCCAGAAAAATTTAAACTTCAGTTATTAAAACATCTGCTCTGACAAACTCAAACTGTAATTACAATAAAACCATAAAAACTGGTGAAACTCACTCCAAGACACCGATTTATTGTGTATTAAAAAAAATAAAAACACCTGACATGATTTGAACTTTTCACTGATTTCACTAAAGCGTCTCGTAGAGGTTCAGTTTTTCACCTGCGGGATGCCGAGCCACTCGTCAGCCAGCTGCATGGCTTCTGTAGCGTTCTCCACTGGTTTTACTGGATCCCAGGTCTCCCAGTCTGGACACAAGCCTGAGGGCGCCGGAAGGACAAAATGTCAAAAACACAATATGGAACACAAAACGTGACAAAACTGCTCAAACCAATAAAAAAAACTCAACGGGAACATTTAAACATTCATGACTGGACACGAGACGTCTTCTTATAAACGAGCAGATCAGCGCTTTTTAGAAAGTGGGGGGGGGGGGCAAACGTGGATTTTAGTCACGGTCACAAGTTCATGGAAAGTAGCAAACAGTCCATTTCGGCTGCTTTTATAATCACCCGAGCCGAAGGTGGAGTTCATCTCTTCAGGCTTGAAAACTTGTTTTTTGGCCCAGCAGAGATTTAAACAAAAACTGGAGTAAAAATGGCCGAAAGTCGGAGGTTTTAGAAAATATCTTTATAGGTTTTCCATCTATTTAGCCACAATTTAACAAAAAAAAAAACCAGTTGGGTTTTGAAACCCGACCGCCTCCAGAAAGCTCAGTTCAAAAACCTTTGTACCCGCTTGTCGTCCTGCGGCTCAGTTTGTGCTTCTTAATTTATAAAAACACAACCACGACATATATGATGTCGGTTTATGTGAAATTATATTCCGTAATCAGTCAAAGCAGCGGAGAGCCCTCAAAGTGCATGGATTTTACTCGGTGAGCGTTCATTTGTCTTAAACTGTATTAAATCATTAAAAACGCTCGTCTTCCGGCTTAAAGCCACGAACCGTACCTGGTGCACAGCTGTCCACCAGAGCTCCCAGGGCCCTCCCGTTTCTCCAGTCCTGGCTGAAGTTGGTGATGGGCAGGTCAGGAACTTTGTGTTGGATCCAGCCCAGCAGACGCTGTTTGGGCGTCTTCGACTCTGCCTGAACAGAAAACAAAATCATCTCTAACGTGATGTAAAGTCTGTTTGCACGTCGTTTCATCTTTTGTTCGAGTCCGACGCAGAGCGTTACCTCTTCATCCTCTCCCTCCCACATGGGCATGGAGATGGAGTAGTGCAGGATCAGAGTCCAGACCAGACCCAGGATCAGCTTCAGGTTCCCATCTACGATGGCTTTGGAGTCTGGAGATGAGAAACGGGCAGGATTCAGGTCAGAACAGACGCTTGGTGTACTGTACACTAGAAAAGATTCAAGTCCCATTAACGTCTGCAGGCGTTCATAAAACATCTGTCAGCAAAATTTAGTTTTCATACATTTAGTCCCTTTTATTCATCATCAGTCTCTTTTCTTCACATCTGGACTGCTGCCGTCTCACGAACTGGAGTTTAAACCAACCGCTCCAGTCAAACCAGTCCAACTTTAACTGGACTTCACAAGACGAACAAACTCCACGTTCACAGCAGATTTAACGTCTCTCTTCACGTCCTGCAGCTTCTCAGGGTCTGGTCCACAGAAAACAAACCTCTGATCTCAAACCTCAACGGAACCGACCCGAGCGCGGCTGCACAACGCTCCTCGTCAATCTTCACAGAACCAGCTGGAGCTTCTCTCAAACGGCACAAACAAGAACCAGAACGTGCAGAACACGGGTCGTGTTTGTTTGCAGCGCATGGAGTTCAGAACGAGGAGATCGATTTTAATCTTCGTTTCTCTCAGCTTGAACAGAAATGCTGCTGCAGACAAATTTAGGAACAAAGCATGAATTTGTTTTGACCCTGGAACAAACATTTACAACAAACACGTAAACTCCTCCTATTCGTGGGTTAAAGGTCGACTAAACATCACGTTTTCTCCAGATTACAGTTTAGTCTGAAGTCGATTTGTTAAAGAGCCGCGAGACCAAATATTTAGATCAACGCACTTAAACTAAAAGACGCGAGTTTGTTTCATGTTTTTATTTTAAACAGAAAACTTCACAAGAAGAACTACGAGCTGAATCCAACAGCTGAAGACTCTTAAAAACAGCCGAACAGACAAACAGGTGCGTGGCTGAAAACAAAAACCGACTCTGCACAATAAATCCACGTGTAAATAAATAAAGTCACTTTTATCATCTACACTCAGAGAACTGAGATAAACGTCACAGGTTCAATACTTCAGACCTCGGACTGGAGAACGGACGGTTTTGACGAAGGTTTTGAAGTTCCTGGACCATAAATCAGTGCAGCCCTCGTTGAAAACGGCTGCTCTGGGATCAGTTAGTTTATATTCAAGTGGGCAAACCGCTCCGAGCTGCAGACGACGGGTTCGGACTCGTTTCTGCTTCGGTGGAAACCGGTCTCACAGAAAACTAAAAGCTACACTTTCACACGAACAAACATTTAAAAAGCTTAGTTAAAATAATAATTAATTTAAAGTGACTGAACCAACCGTGAGCCGACTGGACGACCTGCTCTGAATCCAGAGTAAGAATTCATTAAACACCAACATGATGCGTTAAGGTTTTTATTATAATCGCACAGATTAGGCCTTTTTTCTCCATAATCTGAGTAAATTGATGTAATCTTATGCTGGCTGAGCGGCCGTACAGGCAGCTACATTATGTTTAATATTAAACCTCAAAGGTCCAGCAGTCTGATGAAACATCCATCACCTGCTGCTTCTCATGTCAGAGTCTGAGGTCTGGTTCACAAACGATCTCCTGAATTCGTTGCCGTTTTCTGTGTGAACTTCAAAAACTGTGAACACACGAGCGTTGGTTTGGACCCGGGATGTGGTTGGTTTGCTCCTACATGTTGTGAAGGATGAGCAGCACCAACGGCTCTCTGCTGCCCGCCATCGTTACTGTAGTGCATCTACTTGATAAACTCCCGACTGCAGCCCTCCCTCGTCTCCACCTACAACCACTCCGCTGTGGTCGTGGAGACAGAGGTCCTGGAGAGAAACTCCTCTCCAGCTCCCCCTGGGGGACTCCGAGACGTTCTCAGGCTGCAGAAGATTCACGATCCCTCCAGCGAGTTCTGGGTCTGCCCCGGGGCGTCTTCCAGTGGGATGAAAACCGACTCAAAGGAGGCATCCTATCCAGATGCATGAACCGCCTCAACAAACTCCTTTTGATGTGAAGTGTCTCTACGTTCAGGTCCCCCAGGATGACGGAGCTCCTTGCCCAATCTCTACGGCCGAGCACGGCCATATTTTAGCTGCTTCCATCCAGAATCTCGTCCTTTCCATCCTGATCAAAACCTCATGACCAGAAGTGAAGGTTGGAATATAGACGGAGCAGTGAAAGCCTTTAGACTCATCTTTTTCGTCATGGCGACAGACCAAAGCAACGTCCTCATTACTTCGGACAAGGTTTTGATCCGTCAACTCATCTCCTGCTCCATCCCATAATCTCTCAGGAACAAGATGCCCAGATCCTTCAACTCCTCCGTCCATGCAAAATGCTGGAAGTTTCTAAAAACCTCCGATCTGGGTTCAAAATGCCACACAAACAACCTGAACGCAGCTGAAGTGCAAGTTTCATTTAAAATGATGTGTAAACACAAACAGGGCTTCAGGCTCCGACTCATTATGAGAAACAATGACGTTGTAGCCATTTGGGTCAAAACTTGAAAATATGGTTATGTGTATTCCTTCATGCTCAGACTGTGTGTGGTGGATGACCATCAGCGACTACCACCTCTAATTTTAGCTCAACGTATGGAAAAGTGTTGGATCAATAACCGTTTTGGTGTTTTCCTTGGTCAGCTGGCTGTGGTGGCATCTTCATGTACAACCATTGATTACTTATAATTCAAGTTCATGCAGTGGTTCGTCAAATACTTCGTAACGGACACGTGCAAAAACATCGTCCACCCTTGCTTTCTGGCATCGGGTGATAAATATATTCATTGATCACTGATGAACTCCTTCAGCTATTTTCATCTGGTGTCCTGGAACAAGTAAAGAGAAGACTGGGATCGTTCCACCAACACCTCGTCAGAGATGGAAACGAGCAGAGGAACGTGCAACAGAACAACAAACGATCCCGTATTTATCCTACGGGAGATAAAATGTGTAAACAACGTTAACGTTCAAAACCTTTTTATTTAAACTCCATTACACACCGCTCGACACAAACGGACTCACTACCTCAGTCATTTTATTTTATGGCAAAATGACGAGATCAGCAGTTTCTGATAAAACACACATTTTTAACTAATAATCCCAAAATAGTTGGATTATTTAGCTTTTCGTGTGTTAGACAGAAACATGTTTTGCTTTTATAAAGAAAATAGCAACAACTTCTCATTAAAAATATGAGAAAACCATCAATATTTAATGAAAATGTAACAGAATTCTGTAATAAATGACAGTAAAACCGCCCGGCACACGACTAGGTGCTTATTCTTGACTAAAACTGATTGAAGATGTTGCGTCAGTTGAGGCGGGTGCTTCCACTTGTTTATTTTTTCATAAATTTCAATGATGCCTAATCAAATAAAAGTGATTATCCAGCATTTTCCTTTGCCACCAATTTAATCTGAGTATTTGACACCCCACACACAGTGTTGCTGAATGTTTCTCTCTCTGCTGCTGGCGAACTTGCGACGTATTCTCGGTGAGTTCAGCAGAAACAAGTCGAGTCCCGACTCGGTGAGAAAGCCGGAGCAGCTTCAGCGCCGTCAGCTGTGATCCAACATGTCTCATCGGCTCAGGTGGAGGCGGCAGCCTCGCCCCTCGGTGACAATAACCCAACACAAGTACACCCCCGGTGGAATGACGGAGCGCGTCAAACATCCAGAGGAGTTACGACATCATGGTTGCAACATTTTTAACCCTTCACGGTCGTCTGTCGTGCTCCCGCTCTCTCACCCTGCTCTGCTGGTTGTACAGTTTACGCCTCATTTCTAATTAATCTGAAGAGTCGATGTTTCTTTTCAACCGCGAGGTGCGTGTGTCATGATGAGCAAACATCCCGTTAGTGATCCTAGTTGACCTTTAACCCCACATCCCCCCAGGACTGAGTTCAGGCCTCAGTTTACAGACCGAACACGTTATTCTAGACGAAGGCGGCGCTTTGTGTACTGTAAACAAAAAGGCGACGTGTTGACAGGACTGCGGGGGATCACTACATGGAAACTGTCCTTTTGCTACTTCTTATATTTTTCTTATATTTTTTATAAACAGAACGTTACTTTGAAATGTTCTTTCAACTCACAGGTGGGAAACTTATTTGAGACTTTGTGACTGAAAAGCCTCTAACTGAACTGAAACAGACGGTTCCTGCGTCCATCATAAACATGACATCATCAGCAAACAAACAAACAAACAAGACGACTTTCTCCTGACAACACGAAGCTAACGGATGTGTTAGCCCAGGACCAGTTCAGGAAGACCGTTAAGGATCTTGCTGCACCCGAGAGCCGGGCGTGGCCCATCTAAAAAAAAAAAAAAAAACACCTTACCTCCTGCAGGTCTCACTCTCAACAGGAGCAAACCAGATTTTTAATACTTCTCGTCTCTTTGATAATTAATAACTAAAATAAAACCATTCCAACCGTTAATGTCCGGCGCTGCACCGCTGATCTTTATGTTCTCACTCCTTCACGTAGGCTCTTTTACTTGATTAAAACTTTGAAATTGACGTGATGACCGTAGGCGCGTCCACATTTGTTACCAACTAGGAATGGGCAGAGGTTTTGGATTATTCAGTCTAGTTAAATTGAGCAAATAAAAAAATAAAAAAATGCAATTACAGCCACTTTATTTGTAATTTCTGAGCTTTGAATCCATTAATCCGTGATGCTGCAGACTCACTTCTTAAAAAATAAAACCATAAATAAAATAGAAGGACTTTGTCACAACCTGTGCATTTCCCCTGCCTGCCAGTCTTTAAATAATAATGAACAAGTTTGAGCCTCTGAGCTGCTCTTGAACGCATCTTTGCACCCTTGCCAACAGTTTTTAGGGTAATGAGTCGATCGCCATGGCAGCCCATTGTTCACATCAAGGTCGAGTTTAATCCAGCGAGTTGGTAGAAAACCGTGGCCTCTGCAGAGCTTGTGTGTTTGTAGAAAGTGTTTGTTACGGAGCGCTTCAGCAGCTCTAATAATCTGCAGCTTTGTTTCCTGCTCCTAAATCCCTGATCCTACATGAGCCCCTCCATCGTGACCCAGACTCTGTTCTGGTCAGAAAC